ATTTATTGTTTATGTATTGTCTGTCTCCTTCTGCTATAACGTTAGCTCCATGAAACCAGACTCTTTTGGTTCACTGCTGTTTCTTCAGTGCCTCAAAGAGTATCTGGCACATAACCCACTGCCATCGAGTCAGATCTGAATCATAACGACCCCTCCTTGGGCTTCTGAGGCGGTAACACTACGGAAGCAGATTGCCCAACCTTCTGGCACATGTTGTTGTTGTTATGTGCCTTCAAGTCGGCCCCGACTCATAGCAACCCCTCCTTGGGTTTCGGAGGCAGTATCACTACAAAAGTAGATTGCCCAACCTTCCTTCCGAGGAGTGACTGATGGGTTTGAACCGCCATCCTTCTGGTTAGCAGTCAAGTGCCTTAAGCACTATGCTACAAGAGGTCCTTTCTAGCACATAGTGGATGCTTAATAAATATCTTTTAAGTAAGTTGCTAAGACCTCAGTAACATTTTGTTTTTGTTTTTAATTTTTATTGTGATTTAGGTGAAAGTTTACAGAGCAAATTCATTTTCCATATAGCAGGTCACACACATTCTCTCAGTAACACTTTGTTGAATGAGTTAGATAAATGTCTCTGCTATTTGTTAAGCACTATAAGAGGCTCAAACCCACCAGCCACTCCACAGAGTGAAGACTGGGCAATCTACTTCCATACCACCTAGGAAACCCAATGGAGGGCGCTGAGTCGGAGTCGACTTGATGGTAGTGAGTTTGGTTTGGTTGGTATAACATGCTGAGAATAACAGAATAAAATAAATAAAAGAATTCCCTTTTCTGGGACTTTACAATCTAGTGGAAGAGTCACGTATGTAAAAAGTTAACCATAGCATAAGGAAAAATGAAAAACTCTGGTGGTGTAGTGCCTAAGGCACTTGACTGCTAACCAGAAGGCTGGTGGTTCAAACCCACCAGCCACTCCTTGAAAGGAGCAATCTACTTCCATAGTGATACCCCCTCAGAAACCCAAGGAGGGGTCGCTCTGAGTCAGGTCTGACTCAATGGCAAATAACAGCAACAACAACAATAAGAGAGGGAAAAAAAATAATAAAAGGAGTGCTGGTGGCACTGTGATTGAGTGCTTGGCTACTAACAGAGAGGTTGGTGTTTGAACTCACCAGCTGCTGCTCCACAGGAGAGAGATGTGGCAGTCTGCTTTCATAGAGTTACAGTCCAAGACTGGGGCAGTTCTACACTGTCCTATAGGGTTGCTATGAGTCAGAATTGACTCAATAGCAATGGGTAATAAGAAAAAAACAGTAGTCCTCCCTAGAAGAGCTGGTCAGCTGACATTTATATACAGGGTGGATGACTCAATAAGCAAGGTAAGCATGAGCTTACTTGTGCTTACTTATTAGTCTGTAGCAAACAATTTTACATTTGAAAAACATATGAAACTTTATTACAGATTAGTAAGTAAGCACAAGTAAGCTCATGCCTACCTTTCCTCCTGGGTACTCGGTCCTTGAAGGGATTGTAAATTTTAAAAGAGGCTTTGATTGTGTAGGAAGGTGCTGTGGGGTTGGGAGAGAGACAGATGCCAGCGTACCTGGAAGCAGAATCTTTGATGTGGTAAAAAAAAAAAAAAAGTGAAATTATTCACTATAGATTAGTAAATAAGCACAAATCAGCTTGCGCTTACTGTGCTTATTGGGTAGCTCGATATTGGGTAGCACTAGATAACCAAGATAACCCTTCTCCCTTACTCCAAACCAAAAAACCAAACTCACTGCCATCGAGTCAGTTCTGACTCATCGTGAACCCGGTTACTGCCTCATCTTTCTTCCTTGGAACAGCTTACGGGTTTGAACCACCAGTGTTTTGGTTAGCAGCCAAATACCTTAACCACTACACCACCAAAGTGCCCTCACTCTGATTAGAATTAATTCAGCCTCATGGCTGTTATCACAGCATAGTATCATAGCACCTTATCCCTACCCACTCACTCCACTGCTATTAGTCAATTCTGACTCTTAGTGACCTTACAGGACAGAGGAGAACTGCTCCACAGAGTTTCCAAGGCTTTAATCCTTACAGAAGCAGATCTCCACATCTTTCTCCTGTGGAGCAGTTGGTGGGTTCAAACTCTCAACCACTGTACCACCAGGGCCCCTTCCCTAACTCCATTAAAGGGCTTGTCACATAGTATCAGTATCACACAGTATCTCTATCCAGAGTCCCTGAGGTCAGGAACTAAATTGAGTCATCTTCGCATCTAAAACAAACCTCCTAGTACCCAACAAAGGCACAAAAGATTTTGACCTAGGCAACTCATTCACTCCGTCCCAGCTGAGGACAGATAACCAGGGATCTTTCTATATAACAGGCTTTGACTGACTCAGAGAAAACACTTTAAAAAGGACTCAAAGGGTGATTCCAGGTCTCAGTAACTCAGTTTCCTCATCCATATCTATAAAATGGTAACATAGTCTCTGTCTCATTTAGGTGGGCATAGACGCAAAAGGTAATGATTGACAAGAGAGTTTTGTAAAATGTCTCCACCAAGCATATCATTCTGACTGGTGGGGAAGCATTTGCTTCACTAAATGTCATTTGACCTCTATTCTACATCAAAGCCGGTATTAAGTTAGAATTCCTTTCTAGACCTTGAGTGTCTTAATTCAGTAAAGGAGATCACAGAAAGCTGTGTGACTCAGGCTAGAGGCTTGACCTCTCTGAGAAGTTTTCCTCGCCTGTGAATGGGAGAATTGGAGGGGCAGATCCCTGCCTGTGGGCTGTGGCCCTGGTGCGACTCCCATTCTCAGATCCTTTCTGAGGAATGTAATCTCAGCCCTCCTGCCTGCCTGCAGGCCTGTCAAGGGCTCCTGCTGGGAAAGTCCATTCCTCTTCTCTCTTCCTCCATTTGCAATCACTATTTATTTATCTTTGGAAATTCAAGGAACCAGAGCCTGCAACTGGGAGAGATTTCTGGAGCCAGGGAAGGAAAGTGAAGAACCCTGTCTGGGCCCAGTGTCTGCCATTAACCCGCAAGGGAAAGAGGCCACTTCTCTGCATAGGGCGTGGGGTGGGGTGGGACTTGGCTGACAGGCCACAGCAGTCACTGGAAAAGTTGCCACACTGACCAGCAGGGTCAAGATCACAGAAAGAAGTGTTGGCCACTTTAGGAGCCACTTTGATGGTACAGTGAAGGATAGGAGACAAGAATCTTGCAAAAGATCAGCCTCTGAGGAGAAACAAAAGAGGCAGACACATTGTTGTTATGTGCCGAGTCGGCTCCGACTCATAGCGACCACTCCTTGGGTTTCTGAGGCAGTATCACTACAGAAGTAGGATTGCCCAACCTTCCTTCCAAGGAGTGGCTGGTGAGTTTGAACCGCCAGCCGTCTGGTTAGCAGGCAAGTGTCTTAGCCACTATGCTACCAGAGCTCCCGCAGACACATTAGGACTCCTCTTTTTCCTATGTCCCTGGCCCCATTCCTACCTTGTACTGTTGTTGCTGTTGTTGTTTCAATTCAGAGTGACCCTACAGGACAGAGTAGGCTATCGCCTTTACTGGAGCAGGTCACCAGGCCTTTTCTCCCATGGAGCAGCTGGTGAGTTTGAACCTCCTACCTTTGGGTTAGCTGCCGAGCACTTAACCATTATGCCACCAGGGCTCCTTTACCTTGTGTGATAGTCCATCAAAAACCCATGGAAAATTTTCATCCTTATCCCTAGCTGTCAATAGTCTGCTTGCTGCCCATGAAAAGCGAGTGTCCTGGGTGATGTAAATTGTTAAGCACTCTCAAAAAGCTAACTCATTGCTGTTGAGTAGGATCGACCCACAGAGACCCCTCCTTGGGTTTTGGAGGTGGTTTCTCTATGGAAGTAGATTGCCCAACCTTCCTTCCAAGGAGTGGCTGGTCAAACCCACTCAAAGTCATCTCAGAAGATAGGCCTGGTGATTTGCTTCTGAAAGGTCACGTCCTTGAAAACCCTATGGAGCAGTGGTACTCTGCATATATAGAGTCACCATGAGTCAGAACTGACTCCACGACAACTAAAATCAACAACAACAACTCTCTCTCTCTCTTTTTCTCTCTCACTTATTCCCATGCCACAATTCACATTCATATACTATGAGCCAGCCAGGGTACCCTTTTGACCCCAGAGATTAGATATTTTAGGATGTTAGGGGCTGTGTCCAAAGTCCAGCAGCTAATGAAAGGCAGAGCTGAGTCCAGAATGGGAGTCTCCTGACTCACAATACAGTTCTCTTCCCACACCCTGGCACAGATCCCCACTCTCCCTCTTCTCATTTTCTCTCTCCCTCTCTCTCTCTCTCTCTCTCTCTCTCTCACACACACACACACACACACACACACACACTGAGATGTGGAAAAGGTGGGAGGCCAGATCTAGGCCTGATTGCCTTGGCCTTTGACCTCTCCTTGACTGAATGACAAGCACGCCCTGCTGGGTGAGGTCACTCGAAGTGGAGGAGGGTCTGCTGACTCCTTGGTCTCTGGCTGTATCCTCCTGCGGTGGCCTCAATCCCAGTTTGAGGGCTGGAGTAGGGCTGTCGGAGTGAGGGCCAGCTTCCAAACTGGCCCATCATTTCATGGGCCAAAGAAGAGTGTCAGCAATGCCAGAGTAATGAACAAAGTTCAACCCAAAACATGGAAGCATCTCTAGCAAAGCCCACAGTTTAATGAATAGTCCAAAAAGATTAGGGAGGAAGACGGAAGAACAAGAAAGAGTTTTGGGGAAGGTGATGGTGGTTGGCTTAGAAGTCTGAGATGGGTCATGGAGATGGGTCTTGGCCAAGGGAAAGAGGGGAAGGAGGGAGAGGGAGTTTCGGTCCAGGGTGGGTCCAGGGGACTTGAGGAACTTCAGGCAGGTTTGTCCGCTCCCACTCAGAGTAGGGCAGGCAGAGTATCGGGAGGCGCTAGGGCCTCGCGGATGGACAAGGATGCTAGGGGAGGGCGCCCACTCCGGAGGGCGGGCGGGGGCTGAAGGCGGCGGGAGCGTCGCCGCGCAGAGCTGCCTCCATCTATGGCACTGAGCAGCGGCAGCAGCGGCAGCAGGAGCCCGGCGCAATCCGCTAGGTCCCAGCCCAGCGCTGAGGGAGCAGACGACGCGGAGGGGCCCAGCCCCCACCCGCCCGCGAAAGCCACGCTGAAACTCCGGCCGCGCGGACGGGGACCGCCCGGGCTGCGCTGACAGCTGCGCCCCTGGTCCTTGCCGCCCGGGCGCTCGCCTGACATGCCCCCGGGGCGCGGCGGCGGGGACCCCAGGGCTTGCCTCCGCCCAGGGCCCCGTGCCCCGCGTTCGGGCTCCCCGGGTCCCCGCTGAGCAAGCGCCTGCACGCCCGGGTTCCTCCGGCCGGCGCGCAGCCCAGCCCAAACGCTGTCTGTACCCGCGGGGCGATGGGCTGATGGGCGCCGGGGGACGCAGGATGCGGGGGGCGCCCGCGCGCCTGCTACTGTCGCTGCTGCCGTGGCTACTGCTCCTGGCGCCCGAGACCAGGGGCGCGCCGGGCTGTCCTGTCCCCATCCTCAGCTGCAAATGCTCGGGGGAGCGGCCCAAAGGGCTAAGCAGCGGCGCCCCCAACCCTGCACGCAGGAGGGTGGTGTGTGGCGGCGGGGACCTCCCGGAGCCTCCCGAGCCCAGCCTTCTGCCTAACGGCACCGTTACCCTGTGAGTACCCGAAGCGGCCGGCTCAGCAGCAGCTCCGATATGGGGGACAAATAGAGAGGCTCCAGGCAGGGAGGATAGGGGAAAAGGGGAGATGCCATCACTTCACAAACTCTAGAACAGGCCCGAGTCCAGGCGCCCAGAAGGGAGGCATGGAGTAGAAGGGGAGAGATTTAGCGCTGCTGGAGTGTGGAGGAAGGAAGCTTCTTTGCGGGAGCTGCTGCTTCCCTGAGGGGGGCATGGAGGGCTCCCACTCACCTGCACAGGTGAGGTGGAATGCGTGCTGGCGGGTTGCTCACGCTCCGAAGTTTCCAACCTGAGCTGGTGTTGCAAACTTTTGGACCTGAGATGGGGTGGGAAGGGGACGGCTCAAAACAGATCGTGACCACAGCGGACGCGGCCCGGGACTGGCTGAAGGAGGCCCGCGGGCTTACCCGGCGGGCCTGGCCACTCCAGTTGGGGGCGCCTCACCTGACCCCGGGCACGGCAACCCTGCTTCCATCCTGTCTCCATAAAGCAGACAGGAGGGTGGGTTCGAAAAGTTTCTCTCTGGGATGCGGGAGCTTCTTGCGGGAATGAGACCGGGGCCTGTCGATTGTTTTTGGGCCCCTTGCCCGCCGCGCGCATTGGCGAAGTGAGCTCTGGGTTGAGTACTGCATTCCTCTCCCTTCTTTCCCTCCCCTGGATATAAAACAAGCTTTGGATGTTTCTCAACTGACTTCTCGAAAAGATTGTGAAGATAGAAACTTGGCTGTGAGGACAGAGTGCCTCCCGGCCTCCTTCCGGCGATCCGGGTTCTTACCCTAGCCAGGGCCGCTCCCCTAGGAGAGCGGCTGCACCATGCACCACAACCCGACCCCAAACCTTCTCAAAGAGGCAGACCCTCTCTTAAAACCACAAGAGAATTAGCGACCCTTCCCCACTGCAGAGATGTCCTGGGCTGACCACGTGCTCGGAGCTCCACGCACGCTTTGGAGTGAGGGTCCGGGCCTAGCGGTGGCCCATTCCTTTCCTGTGCTGGATTCAGGCTAACCAGCAGTTTCCCCTTCCCTGTCCTCCTGACCCTAGTGGCAACCTCTCCCCAGCGCCCTTTGCCCCGAAGTTGGAACTGGCTCACAGTCTATCTGATTGTGTCCAGAACAATACAGTAACGCCTCTGGTTGGGTGAGTTCAGAGGCTGCCTGCTTCCTGACAGGACACGACTGGTCAGCCTCTGACGTTGTCCTCCTGGCCTGCATTTTCCCCAGTGTGTGTGTGTGTGTGTGTGTTAGGGGAGTGGAGGCAGTGTGTCTGCTCTCTCCCACCTGTGCTGCAGGGATATTGCGCTTTTGCCAGGAAGGTGACTGCTGCTCCCTCCAGGTCTCTCTGAGTGTCCACTGGTGTTAAGGTCCAGGCAGGCCTGGGCATTCCCCAGCCCACTCAGTTCTGGAGGAGAAAAATGTTTGCTGTCTGGAATAATTGGGCTGGTGTCTGTGTGAGTCCCAGCTGCACAATGATAATTCAGCTCTGAGAGGGGTATGTGTGTGTGTTTGTACGTGTGTACATGCTCTGCAACTGTGCTCACACACATATGATCCTTCCTTCATATGTGGTAAGCTTTCTGTGCATTTATTTGTCAGGATTAGGGAATCCTGACATACTGAAAAGGAAGGAAGGGGAAAAAAAATGGAAAGGTGGTTTTGCAGTACATCTTAGAATGATTTGGCAACTAATGCTTTCCAGCCATGGCTAATTCCCTTCCATGCCCTTCCAAGGAGAGAGTGGGGCCAACTCTGGGTGAGAATATATTGTGACAGGGTTATGGCAAATGTGACTCCTAGCTCACCTTCCTGTCCCAAGCCCTTTTCATGAGGAAAGTCCTCCCTTTCTTCCCAGGTCACTGACCAGGCTGACTGGCTGCACATACCTGCAGGGACAGTGAGTGAGGAAGGGCAAGAAGGTCCTGGAAGCCTGCTTGCCTATCAGCTTGAAGTGTCACTGAGTCTGCAGCCACAGACGTTATTTCTTAGGCTCTCCCTACCCACAGGCTCCACCAAAAAAATAAATAAATAAATAAATAAATTGGCAGATCTCAAAGATCAGGCTGAATTCAGGAGAGAAAAGGACCCAAGTTCCTCTTCAGCATATGATGGTCAAGAATTCTTTTTTTTCCTCTCAGGGCTCAGTCCCTCCAGGACACCTATCTCTGCCTTAACATGCATGTTGGAGAAGAAAAAGAGAAAGGCTAGGAAGGGGTTTCCACTTCACCCTGACAGCAAAGCAAGAAGCTAAGAGCCTGAAAACCTTATAAACATTCAGCTTCACCCTGCAAACTCCTCCCCCTTACTCTCCTTTTTTTTTTTAAGCACAAATCCTCTTTATCATCTTTTAGCTTTTCACCTTGTGCAAACAACAGGACATGAGCCAACAGATTTTGAATTATGGCTTTACTTTCTCCCCTACCCCTACAATCCCACTGAGGAGTCTATTTCTCTCCAATACAAAAACTCACTGCTTTGGAGTTGGTTCCAACTCATAGCGACCCCTCCTTGGGTTTCCAAGGCAGTATCTCTATAGAAGGGAGCTCTGGTAGCCTAGTGCCTAAGGCATTTGACTGCTAACCAGAAGGCTGGTGGTTCAAACCCACCAGCCACTCCTCCAAAGGAAGATTGGACAATTTACTTCTGTAGAGATGCTGCCTTGGAAACTCAAGGAGGGGTTGCTATGAGTTGAATGGACTCCATGGCAGTGAACTTGGTTTTATTTTATTTTCTCTCTATCTATGGAAGTAGATTGCTCAGTCTTCCTTCCAAGGAGTGGCTGGTGGGTTTGAACCCCCAACCTCCTGGTTAGCAGTCAAATACAGGTGCTTCAGAATGCGCCATCAGAACCCAGTGCCCTTCAGGCAGCCCCCTGCTGCAGAGCCTGAGATGCAGGGCTTCGGGGACCTCAGGACCCATCTGGAGAAACCTGGCAGACACAGGCTGGGACTAACTGTTCAAGCAAACCAAATTCTAGATAAGGTCTCTGCCTTCAAGGAGCCTATAGTCTGCTCACCAGCCACTCCTCGGAAGGAAGGTTGGGCAATCCTACTTCCGTAGTGATACTGCCTCGGAAACCCAAGGAGGGGTCGCTATGAGTCAGGTTTGACTCAACGGCACATAACAACAACAACAACATAGTCTGCTCAAGAAAGGCCCCAAGCAGTTTAAGGCAATTCTATGAGCAGTCCTGTTTACCTCATTGAAAAACCCTTCCTCCACTCCACCCTATTGTCTCAACTTTTGACTTCTGTTTTTATAGACTCCATAGCCCCTTTCCCCACCCTTTGCTATTTTTTTCTTTAATGGATTTTCATTTGCCCTTTTCCAGGAAAGCAGAGTTCCTGGCTTCCTTCCTGATCCATCTGTCCCAACTCACCCCCCAGTCTCACAGGCCAGTCTGTAGTGAGGTAGGCAGGGCAGCTCTGGACTCAAATATGTCTGTACAGAGCAGGAGCCTTTATGGGCCTCCCCTGAGGGGAAAGTTCCCTTTGGTGGGCGGCTTATTACAGAGAGAACCTGGATGTGGGAGGGAAAAGTGGAACAGTGTGAGCCCTCTATCCACCACTGGGCAGCAGCTAATGGGCCTGCCCTCTGGTTCTCAACTCTGGGAGTTAGAATGAGGGGGAAGGAAACCTGGGAATAAGGAATTCCAGGAAAGGATTGATAATAAATAACTCCAGGAGGAAATCTACTATGAGGACCTCCCAGGATATCTGAGGCTACCAGTCTAGTGTCATAAATTCCTTGAACGTCTGTGCCTCAGGAAGGGGCCTTGTTGTTGCTGTTATGTGCCATCAAAGTTGGACCCAACTCATAGTTGACCCATCCTTGGGTTTCTGAGGTGTTATCACTACGGAAGTAGATTGCCCAACCTTCCTTCCAAGAAGTGGCTGGTGGGTTTGAACCACCAGCCTTCTGGTTAGCAGTCAAGTGCCTTACACACTCTGCTACTTAGGGATCAGCAAATCAAATCCCTACATCTTCCAGCTGAGGCTGAAAGAGGGGCATTGTCTTGCTAATAGTCATACAGCTAGCAGGGGCCAGAGTCAGGATTTGCTGCTTGGGTTCTCTTCACACTCCTCTCATGCGAAGGACTTGCACTTCACCTGGCTGGACTTGGGGCCCAATGGACACAAAAGCTGCTTTAAAAATCCTAGTTCCTTCCCAGCAAGACCCAGGTCCTTTTGACCAGAGAACATTCCAAGGCTGGGTGGAAAGGTGGGCAGGCATGAGACCGGTCACTCCAAATGCTCAGCTACCAGTATTTCAGGGTGTGTGCCCACCACATAGTGGAGAAGGGGCTGTTAGCCACACGGATGTGCTTAGAACTGGCTGGTTCTTTTGCTGTGAGTTGGGTGGTCTTTAGGAGCATGAGAGGGCAGGGGTGGGCAGGGATAGAAGCAGAGATCCCTTCTTGGGCTCTGTGCTGTCCCCCAGACTCAGGGAAGTGGTCCTTGAGCCACTGATCTCCTTCTGCTTCTGGACTTGAAGCTTTGACCTGGGCTTTCATCCCAGTGCCCCTCACGCTAGCCACCAGGGCCCAATTAGGGGAGTTGGGAGCAAAGTGTGCCAGCCACCAGACACACACAGCCTGATGAAAGTGGAAAGATGCTGGTTGTAGGGGCGGGCCCATGCTGGCTTCCCCACCCCCTTCTAGTCCACCCTCTTTCCCCCATATGGTTCTCATAACGTCTGGGCTCAGAGACAGCAGCCAGAGGAAGTGGCTGTGTACAGAGAGCTTTTGTGAGGGAGAGGAGGGGGGAGGGAGAGAGAGAGTGAAGAGAAAAAAGGAAAGAAAAGAGGGAAGAGGCTGGAGACAGAGAAGGTGAGAGGAAGCCAGAAGTCTTCAACACACTCTACCTTCTCAGTGGTGCTAGGGTCTCAGCTGCAGCATTTCCCTGTGGGCTCTCAGACCCCCTCTGGTCTGAGGGAGTTGGAGAGTAAGGGGCCTCAGAAGAAATCCAAGTCCCTCCCTGACTC